TCAGCGCTACAATCTGCCTCTCAGTTATCATGCCATCACTCATTTTCTCTTTTGATACACCACCATTAGGCTTGTTCAGTTCTGCTGTACCAATTCAGGTCCCTGCATAATCTGCACAAGGCATCTTAAGGGTAAATGCATCAGGTAGAATCCATCTATTTCTCTGCCAGCTAAGTATCATGGTTGATTTACATATAAACTGGTGAAAGCCCTTTCACTTATTGTTAGGAATTTGAGAGGCTTATATCTCCATGACAACTGGGTATATGTTTACATGCTGCTATCAAAAGATTCATGACAAACATAACTAAACATATTTCCCTTTCTTCTAGACAAAAGGCAGCATATGGATTCTGCAGATTTGTTAAGATAGGAATATACTCTCATGGAAATAATTTACCCTCTGTTGCATTGCTGTTTAGTGTCTCCAAGTTTCTAACGGGGACCCTAAGATGAGTTTTATTAGCAAGATTTGTTTAAAGGAGGTTGCCTTTGACCTCTGAGGCTGAGAGAGTGTGACACACCTAAGGTAACTTGGGAGGTTTCCCTGATCAAGTGGAGATCTGAATCCTGGACTGCATTTTATTTATTTCATGTCAAAGCATTGCATACATAACTATAAAACTGATAAAACTAGAAGGAGTACAAGCAGCTAAATAACTTTTGACCAAAACCTGGCAACAGTGACCGCATTGTCTGTAGCTTTAAACAATTCTTCCTCTGTACATGAGGCAGGGCATTGTGGACAAGTATACTTGTGTGGAGTTGTTTGTTCTGCTCCACAATCACACAAGAAGGAGGATTCTTCTAGGTACTTCCATTTTGCCAGATTGTCTTTTGATCTGCCCATTTCACTTCTGAATCTGTTCAGGGACTTCCAAGTTGACCATTCTTGGTTTGCCACTGGAGGAAGACCCTCATTGGGGGGGGGGGGCATCCAGTTGGGATTTCCTGGTTTAGCTGCCAGAGGGATGCCCTTGCTGTTGCTGGGAGGAACATTAGAGGAGTGGTAGTTCTCATGAAATATTTTCGTTCATTTGAGTCTACTGGGAGGAGACTGATAGCTATGCAGTGGATGTTTTTCACAGTGTTCAACCTTATTTCTCTCATATTTTGCAGTAGCTTCCCTTCATACATTTTGAGGGGGGATGCCAGCTAGCTTGTAGAGTATCAACAGGTGTACGTTTGAGATATCCTGTGATTATTCTGCAAGTTTCGTTCAGTGCTATGTTCACCTGCTTCACCTGGCCAAACTTGTGCCAAACAGGGCAGGCATACTCAGCAGTTGAGTAAGACATGGCCAGGGCTGATGGTCTTATTAGTTTTGGGTCTGCTCCCCATGAGTTGCCAGTAAGTTTCCGCAGGGTGTTATTGCGTGCAGCTGCTTTGTGCTTGGTGTACATGCAATTTTTCCTAAATGTTAGTGTTCAGTCTAAGGTGACACTGATATTTAGAATGGACACAGTGTTTGAGCTCTTGGCCTTCCCATGTAACTTTCAATTTCATGTTGGCTTCACTGTTCCATAGGTGGAAAGCACACACTTGTGTCTTGGCAGTGTTAGGCTTCAGGTGGTTATCATAGAATCATAGAATCAAAGAGTTGGAAGAGACCTCATGGGCCATCCAGTCCAACCCCCTGCCAAGAAGCAGGAATATTGCATTCAAATCACCCCTGACAGATGGCCATCCAGCCTCTGTTTAAAAGCTCCAAAGAAGGAGCCTCCACCACACTCCGGGGCAGAGAGTTCCACTGCTGAATGGCTCTCCCAGTCAGGAAGTTCTTCCTCATGTTCAGATGGAACAACTGGTATACGACAAGAAATTTCTTTGCCACTCTTGCCATAATTAATATTTCCTTTTATTCCCAATTACTTGATTCTATATTTTATGCTTGAAGAAGTGAAAGATCTAGTGGAAGAGGCCTTACAAATGCCAATGCTACATCAGGGGAGGACTAAAAAAATACTTTCCCCCCAGAAACTTTCATGTCTGTTGATACCTTATAATGTCCATTAGTTGGGGGAATTCTGGGAGCTGTAATACAAAATGTTCTGGCTGTAAGAAAACATTGGCAGCACATCCTGGTAGAATGGAGCACATTAGAGGGGAAAAAATTAAAAAGCCTAATCTATTAGTCCTGGGTGTCAGGGCTAATTCTCTAGCATACTCCCAGCTCCTTATTTAAAATTAAGTGCCTTCTCTTTGTGTGTACACTCCTGTTTTACTTGGCCATTCTGCTTCTGATTCTCATTCCTGTCTTTTATTGTGTTAATCAAATAAACTGCTGATCCGTGCCCAGCACTGTGTGTATAATCAACATCTTTATCCTAGACCAAAGCTGCATATTAATCAATGTGCCTCTACAATACATAATAAAATGATACCCAGCCTGGCAAATAAAGCCTTCAGTTGCTAATTTCCTCTTGTTGTAAATATAAAGGGCAGCTTTAGCGTACCACGACTCCAAGTCCAAGATCCTCCTCCTATCAATGTATCAGTTGAATACATATACACTGTAGAATTAATGAAGTTTGACATCATTTTAGTTGCCATGGCTCAATGTTAAGGAATTCTGGAGTTTATAGTTGCTGAGGCACTAGCACTTTTTGGCAGAGAAGGCTAAGGGGAAAGATAAAAGTTTTCCCCTGACGTTGAGACCAGAGGTATCTGACTCTGGGGGTTGGTGCTCATCATCTCCATTTCTAAGCCAAAGAGCCACCGTTGTCTGTAGACACCTCCAAGGTCATGTGGCTAGCACGACTGCATGGAGCGGTACCTATTGATCTACTCACACTTGCATGTTTTTGAACTGCTAGGTTGGCAGAAGCTGGGGCTAACATGCCAGCTCACTCCGCTCCCCAAATTTGAACCAGCAACCTTTCGGTCAGCAAGTTTAGCGGGTCAGTAGTTTAACCCACTGCACCCTTTTAAAACATCTGCCATGATTTCAAAGCATTGAGCCATCGTAGTTAAAGTTGTGTCAAATGACATTAATTTTATGGTGTAGGTGCACTCAGAGAGGAAGGACACTACTTACATGAATCCTACCCAGCAGTAACGTGAGTGCTGTATTATAAAGCTCTTCTTCTTCCCCTTTATGTCTTGTACTCCAAAACAGACTCTACGACAATTATTTATGAATTAAAACTCTTGCCAGTAAGGATCCCTGAGATTTGCAATATTCAGGTTCTTTTTGGTGGTTATGGGATGGAAACATTATAAGCATTATTTCTTAGGCTATCTCTTTGTATGGTGACATAGGGCCATGTGCTACAGGTGTGCCCCTGTTTTTGTGAGTTCACTGACTGCTTCATATATGGCTTTAGGTAGGGAAATGAGAATGTGGGTGTATTTGCCATTCTAAAGCTGTTTTCACATTAGTTGTGGTTTTCCCTACTTCCTTCCAGGATAAGAATGCATTGGACACCATAGACCAGAGCTTCCCAAACTTTTTATGTTGATAACATATTTTTTAGACATGCATGTTTTTGTGACACAGTAATTCAGCTTTTTTAGGAAAGAGGTTAAGCCAATCCCTTATACAGGTAGTCCCCAAGTTACGAATAAGATAATAAGAAAAAATGTACCTGTTCTGATTTACAAATTCAACTTAAGAACAAATCTATCAAACGTATCTTGTGCATAACTTGGAGACTCCCTGACTGGATATTCTTGGGCTAAATTTATTTATAACATTTCTACCTCGCCCTTCTCAACCCCCAGAGGGGGGACTCAGAGTGGCTTACACTGGCTACAATTCAATGCCACAACAAATATGACAAATATAACAGCAATATAAAACAATAAATAAAACAATAGGTTAAAAACAGTTAAAACATTATTATCACAATCATGTAGTCCAGTTCGACATCCAAAGTGCTGTCATGACTGCTGGCCAAAAGCCTGGTTCCAAAACCATGACTTCAGTTTCTTCCTAAAGGAAAGGAGGGATGAAACTGACCTGATCTCGCTGGGAAGCGAATTCCACAGGTGGGGGGTCACCACTAAATAGGCCCTGTTCTTGTCCCCACCAGACGCGTTTGCGAAGCTGGTGGGATCGAGAGCAGGGCCTCCCCGGTTGATCTTAAACTATGAGATGGAACGTAGAGGAAGATAAGTTCGGACAAGTAAGCTGAGCCGGAGCCATATAGGGCTTTATAGGCCAAGACCAGCACTTTGAATTGTGCTTGGAAATGGGCCGGCAGCCAGTGGAGCTGACATTGCAGGGGCTGGTGTGCTCCCTGTATGGCGCTCCTGTGAGTAATCTGGCTGCTGTCCGTTAGACTAGGTATGGGTGCAGCTGGTGCACAAGTTTTAACTGTGCAAAAGCTCCCCTGGCCACCATCGAAACCTGAGTTCCAGGCTAAACACCTCTTCGTGCTGCTCCCATTGGTGGCTCCTCCTCAGCAAGTAATGTGTTGCCTCCAACCAGCTGCCAAGTCTATGGCTTGCCATGCAGCCTTTGTTTGTGGGGGTGGGGAACACTTTTTAATGCGACACACATGTGGAGTACAGGTGACATTTGGAAAGCTGTGTTGGTACAATAGAGGTACATCTCTTTTCAACCCCACTGTAAAGCAATGTGCAGGTGAGAATGTATTTATACTGAATTTGCAAAACAGGCTTTTGGTTTTATTTTCTTTGGATTTTCAACCAGATTTAAGATATGTTTTTAGAGTTTTGTTTCAGACTGAATTTTCAAAAATGAAATTTAAAATATATAGAGATTCAAAGCACTGAGTTATAATTATGATTTTCAAAATAAAACTTGAATCCCTGCAAGATTGCATTTAAGTTTCCTCTGAGGAAGGAAAGGGAATAAATAGAAAGTTCTATTATGGTAATTTTACCACCTTAGAAGGCTGGTTCCTCCTAGGAGATTGTTCCTTGAGCTAGACCTGACATTGTGGGCTTGAACCTGCAGATAAGGTCTAAACATACACATATGTTGGGCACAAAAAAGGGACACAGAAATATACACCTTCCAAACTTTGACTTACCAAGTAAGGCTGCCACTTCGTATGCTTTCTTTTGCTCAATGG